GAGTGTGGGAGAGGGCAAAACTGCCTTGCTTGTAATTTTCCACTTAGAAATGAAATAATGCTGTTAGTGAAATGGAAATACATCTTCTGAGCAATTAATAATGTCTTGTTTTTGTAGAAGAGCCAGAGAAATTCCCACTTCTCATTAAGTTTTTAAGTTCTAAATGACTCAATAGTATCCTAGTCTCAGGATTTCTCACCTTGCCTTCTATAATATTTGTCATTTTCATAAACATCTAAAATATATTTTATGCCCCCTCCCCCCCCCCCACCCCCCCCCACACACACACACACACACACACACTCCTTTTTCTCTGGGCAGGTAATTTGGAAATCTTTGGGTAGCTTACATACAGGACAAACAATTCAGGCTCTGTGGACAGGCCAGAAGTCAAACAATATGACTGGAGAATACAGATCTTCAGTTTTGCTTCCCCTTGATATCAGCAGAGCTATCCTGATTTGTATCAGCTGGGAGTTTGCCCCAGTGCTTCAAGTTTTCTTTTATTTAAAGTATAGGAAAAGTGAAAGGTATATCCAAAGATGAAAGCCCAAGTAAGCAGTGTTCTCAACCACATCCTTATGGGGTTGAGATGCACATTCAGTATCTCTAATCTGTATAGCTGCATAACTGTTGTTCAGATTCTACTGCAAAGTGGTGGGCAGTAGTAGTTGGAGGCTACTGCTCTCACTTATGCCCAGGTTTGTGGGCCACTGGATCCTTCAGTGAAGGACTCTTGTTATGCTTGAAGCACACCCAGACCTAATTCCATGGACTTTGGTTCTCCCAACTGCTCTCTGGAGCCTCTTCCACAATGCAGTAGGAAACATGCTGTTGGTACGCTTCTGGGTCTCAGATTGTCACACATGGCATGGTTGGGCAGACAGGGTGACAGCTCTGTGGGTGACCAGCCAGGAGGTGTGAAAATGAGGAGTGCTGCCTCTGCAAAATTATCCTGCTGGATCTCTAGACTCCCTGTGGTTGGCTGAGGGCGTAGGACAGGTGAGGCCAATAGCCAGGAGCACAGTGAACTCCTGCCACTTGGAAAGGATTATACTGTAAAATGTAATGGGAACTGAGTCTAATGCTTAACTGAATTAGCTTTTGTATGTATCCTTTCTGTGCTGTGGAAAGTCCCCTCATTTGCCACGTGCAGGAGTTCTAGGGCAGTTGCCAGAAGCCAAATCCACATGTACTGTATAGTTCCCCTGGAAGGTCTAGATGGGGTTGCTTCACAGAATTGGCATGGGATGTCCTGGCTTACCTGAACAATGTAGAACTATTTTGTGGCATCCACAGTCCCCTATGTATACTTTTCCTACCCATGGACTGTTTCGGGGACTTTGTGACAGTGCTTAGATTCTAGTCAGACATGTCTAGTTCCTGGGAGTTACCTTACCTATACTTTTGCAGATACATTTCTCAAAAAAGGCAACGTTCATTTTAAGTCCTGGCCTGCTGAAATAAATTCCCTGTGTGATCAGTACTGCAATGTATCCTTCTAAATACTATCTCCATGCAGGGAAATTTAAGCATTTTGTTTGATCCCTTCATGCTTTATCACTTGGTAGACCAATGCTCAAGTGGGCTGAATGCTTGAAGGAAGATGCTGCAAAATTTTCAGCATGGCAGATGTCAAAATCAAAAGTTTGAAGTGCACCTTTTGTCTGACACGTATTTGGTATCTGTGCCACACCACAGGAGTGTAAGACAAGGAGCAAAATAATAGTGTTTCGAAGCACTTGTAAAAAATATTGTCTTGACAGCTTGAAAAAACAAGATCAGTTTTTTAGTATGAGGAAGGTACTATGTCAGCATTTGAGAAGACATGCATTCCCCTTCACTTTTCCCCCACACTGAAAACAAACTCCATCACTTCAGTCAGCCTCACCTTCACTTGTGCCTGGGCCACTAACTTTGCACCTGACACAGCAATCCAAAGTGTAAGTCACTGATGAAACTCTGTAGTAAGCATGTGCGAAGCAGCTACTATTCACTTCAGATCTAGCCGATTTGGGACAGAGATTCGATTTGGTGATTCAAATCACGGTTCTGATTTGATTCGGCCAAATCTGATTTTGGAGATTTGGCTGCTGCCAAAATTCTGAATCAGCCGGGCCCATCCCCTGCACCTCTCCCAGCAAGACAATGCTGCCCTGCCTGCCCCAGCTCCCAGCACTTGTTAAAAAAAAAAAGCCCCTCAGGAGGTGCTGCTGGGTGAGGGGTGATCTCTGCTGCCCCATGCTGCATGGGGGGGCTCTGCACAAGCCCCTTGCTCCCCCAGCCCCATCATGGGTGCCCCACCCGGGCCAGCTCTGGACCTTTAAGAAAAAAAAATTAAAAAAACCCCTGCATTCATCACTCCTGCTGGCAGGGGGTGATCCCCGCTGCCCCCCATTGCCCCACGCCATGTTGGGGGCTCTGCACAAGCCCCTGAAGCCCCAAGGCGGTGAGTCCCGGGGCTTTTCTTGTTTTTTATTTTTTTCTTAAAGGGCCAGAGCTGGCCTGGGTGGGGCACTTTTGGGCGGTCTGGGGGAGTAGGGCGGGTCTGGGGGGCTTGTAGCTGTTGGGGGGCTGGGGGTGCAGGGTGGGGTCGGGGGAGCTGGCAGGGGTCCCCCCTTGGTCCTCTCCCCCCTCCTCTGTCCCTAGTACTTACCACCTCAGAGTCAGCTGCAGCTCCCTGCTGCAGCCACTGAGGACTGTTCGAATCATCAAGGCTCTCCGAATCTTTTGCAAAGGTTCGGAGACCTTTGAATTGGTCCCCTGATTCAATTCGGATTCAGAGATTCAGCCACTGAATCGGGCCAGATCTCCTCCGAATCATATCAGCACCCAAAGCTTCGCACAGTCCTACTCTGTAGCATTTACATCAGTAACTTTGACTACCATTAAAATCAAGAGAATTAAAATGCATCAAGAGGTATATGATTCAGGACCTTTACACACAACGGTTTATTTATTACACCCAGAACTTTTGGCCCAGAGCATGATGCTGTAAATTGCAAAAGGTCACCTTTACATTAAATTACATCAGTAAGCATCATGAAGGAGAGGGATGAACATGGGGGAGAGTCAAGTGTAATATGGACAGTCAAGCTTTTCTGTATAGTTTTATACCTTGTATCTCAGTCCTGAATTATAGTAAGCCTGGACCAAAAATAGATTGTTGTGCCCAGCTAGGAGGTGTGGCATTGTCCTCTGCAAAAGAAGATCAGGTGATTCCGCTCCTTGTTAACCATGTTATCACCTGAGGTAAGTTTGAACCCTGATCTGATATCTTTGTATACTGAGGCCTTAATCTTGCCTATATGCAGTGGGAAGTAAGGAATATAAAAGATTCCCGCCCTGCCCCCCCCACCCTTCCGAGTATGCCCTCAGTATTGCCAGGCTATGTAGCTGCTAATGTGGTGGATAGGGAGTGGATGAAATAAATATTGGTTCTGTCTGCCAAGAGACTGGCCAAAGCCAGTGCAAATTGATAAGAAAACTATATCTGAAAAGAAGTTAGCACAGATTACAAGGAGGAAGTGGTGTGCAAATTGTGGCTCTTGGACCTGTTGCTGTGACAGTCATACTGAGGTTAGATTTCAAAGGTCTATTCCAGCCCTAAATAATTGAACTTCACATGCCAATTTTTTTAACAAGCTATTGTGTTTGAAATACATATATTTAAAAATTGAAAATAAATTACACATCCTATTACCCATCACGGTTTGGAATAGCAATGCAGTGTCTCATATATGAAATGTACTATCCCCCTTTATTAAAAAAAACACAAAAACTGTAAGTATCATGAATTAATACACATCCCCAGCAATCTCTTTTGCTACAAAATATAAGTCGTCTTGTTAAATATCGATGTTGTGGATGTTTAATTCAGGAGAAGAGGACAGGCAAGGGACAAGAGAAGCTATTATTAAATGGTTGATGCTAGAAATGCAGTGTGCATCTGAAATCATTAAAGTTGAAGGACTAGAGCCCCTCAGCAAGAAGCATCAGCACAGGGAGTATACACAATTTTTACCTTTACAGATGAAGTGTCTGAACCCTGAGGCATTTAGACAAGATTTAGGACCTCACTGTCAAAGCTCATTGTCAATTTTCCTATGGAAAGGCTGCAAACTGCCAAGTACAATTTTTAAAAGCACTTTGTGGTCGAACTATTAGTTGATACAGCTCTAAATCATTCCTAAATCCTTTCATAATTGTTGTTGTGGTTTGGGCCTAATTGTGGAAATTCACTAGTTACTAGGTGCTTTGCACTCCTGGTTTTTTGTAGCCCTCATATGTCCTTTATTATGTTTAATGGTGTGAGTGTTTGAGGAGATGATTTGAGCATTAGATTGCATTTAGTGTGTGTTCGGTCAATTTTCTATCAACAAGTAGATCAATGTGTCTGAATCTGAGCTCTGCCTAGCATTTCTGTATTGAATAATTGTAGTTTCTTACACTGCAGACTGCTTGCACAGAGCCTAATGTTAAATATGGTGATCAAGTCTGAGGCCTAATTACAGCATTTTCTCCAATAGATTGAGTAATAATCAGCTAATTCCCCCTATGAAAAAAATCAATAGGATCCCAAACAAATTAGTAGTGAATTAAAAAAGGAAGAAAAAAGCCCTTTAGCATTCATCTCTCATAGGGAGATACTTCGGTACTGTACTAAAATGATTATAAAACTAGATTGTACTGTTTTTCAGTGCACCTTGAGGATACATCTGAATTAATTAAATTAAAACCTGAACTCTTTTTTTGGATCTGTTCCTTCAGCAATGATCTTTAGCTCTTTTTCATTCTCTAATTTTTTTTAATACCTCCTTCCAGATGGCATTTTCCAGTTTCTCAGGACCCTTCCTAAATCTCGTATCTCTTCTTTGTATCACATCTACCT